GTACACAGACATATGTAGGCAAAATACTCAGACAGACACACATACACAGAAAAAACACTAAAAGAAGTTTTATTTAAAAATGTAAAAATTTTTTAAATTTTAAACAACTTACGATACAACTATAATAGCAACGTAACAGGTTGAAACTACAACTACTCTACCCAGAGTCCTCACGATGCTGATCAGGCAGGAGCCACTCCATGTCTACCAACATTAACTTTTAAAAACACATTTTAAGTAAAAATGAACTAAGAGATAATCAACCCTTCGGCAATGCAACCCTTACATTTAAGACTCAGGGAACACTGAAGAAAAGGGGGTGGAAAGATTGTTTAAAAGCCTGATGATCAGAATAGCTGCTTAAAATTGTCTCCCATATATCACAAGGAAGCTGCACCCATGAAATCTCAAAGTATGGTTGCCTAAATAAGATCTGAAAAATGATAACACCTTTGACATGCCAACATGGATGAGGAAATTTCACAAGGCCCAACTCCTAGATGAAGAGCTATATGAAATCAATGACTGCTGAGAACAGGAGAACCAAGTCTTTTCTAGAGACAAGGCCCCTGACAAGATTATATAATTCCAAATAGTCAACCCTAAACATACACATACGAGCAATACTAAATGGTCTCAGCAGGGAGGTGTGTGTGTGTGTGTGTGTGTGTGTGTGTGTGTGTGTGTGTGTGTGTGTGTGTGTGTGTGTATGTATGTTTGTGTGTAAATGACATAAATATAGCACAAGAGTTATAAACCTACAACACTATATTTAGGATATATAGCTCATTTGGCAGTGTCTGCCTAGCATGCACAAGGCCCTGGATTCCCTTTGCCCCTGATCCCATGCAAAACAGATTATATTTATAAGCTTATTACCATGTCTTGTGCAGGGTGTGGTGGCGGCAGTGGTGGTGCACACCTTTAATCCCAGCACTCAGGAGGCAGAGGCAGGTAGATCTCTGAGTTTAAGGCCAGCCTGATCTACAACAGCAAGGTCCAGGACACTGAGGGTTAAACAGAGAAACCCTGTCTCAAAAAAAAAAAAAAAATAAAATAAACAAACAAAAGCCAACAACAAAATTTACTTCAAAAGTATTTGGGACATGACAAAATT